ATGCTGCAACCGTTGATGCGTCTTGCCCCGGTCCAAGGTCGTCGGCATCTTGTGCATAGTCACTTGTACTGCACATCACTCCTGGTCGAAACCCCGCTTGAGCGAAACAGTTCTTGAGAAATTCACACTGCGCCGACATTCATGCGACGGCCAACATTTGTACAGATGTACAAGTCCACTTCAGTGTCACGGCTATGCTCGTATTTAGCAGGATTCACTCTAAATGTCTTGACCGGTATGCATGCTTCACGCTGTTGATCTTGCCTTGATCCAAAGGCTGGATCAGCGAAGTGCAGTTGGGCGGGAAAAACTTCAGCTCAACGTGCGTCAGCTAGACGTTGCCGTTCAGGCGATGCGCTGAACAATTGCCCAGCAGCGAGCAAACACGGTGGTCTTGCCTTTTCATCTCATTGTCACAAGAAAAGCCAGTCAGTGAAAATGACCCGCATCATCCACAAATGGCTGTTCGCGACGTATTTCACTGGCGAGTTCTTGTGCCTTTAAAGCACCGCGGCTTGGCGCTCTTGCCGATGACGAGAAGGGGCCGCTTGTCGGACCCGTCCATATTTTCACAGAGTAACACGGTGACTCTCTTTGCTTTGCTTGCCTCAGTGGCACTGTTTTTCGTTGTCAAGTCGAGCGTCTTTGCTGCCAGCATTTCATAAAAAAGCCCGGTCATGTCCACATTGTATATGTTGGAGGCAGAGTACTTTTCTACGATGCTGGCAGCACTCGTCGCAATCCACGACGACGTACCGCCAGAGTCTGCCGAAGCGGACTCTCCGCACAGCAATTTTCCGATGATTTCGTGGCATTTTTTGAAGCGCTTCAGCCACCCTGCACTTGCCTTGAAGTTCTCGGTGATGCCTAAAATGCATAACGTCCCAAAACCACTATATGATTATGAGAGACGCCGTGGTGGAGGGCTCCGGAAATTTAGACCACCTGGGGTTCTTTAACGTGCACCCAAATCTGAGCACACGGGCCTACAACATTTCCGCCTCCATCGGAAATGCAGCCGCCGCAGCCGGGATTCGAACCCGCGCCCTGCGGGTCAGCAGCCGAGTACCTTAGCCACTAGACCACCGCGGCGGGGCTAAAATGCAGGTGTAGTTCAGCGCCTTCTGCTGAATCATATTGCCGCTGATTGGTATGTTCTTAGCCCTCGTTTCACAAAACCAGGCATACACTGCCTTTTCAAGCTTTTCGTGGGCTGGCTGGGTCGTCTTCTTGCGTTGAGCAGATGTGCCCGACGCTAGCACCTTTGAAATACTCGCATCGGACTTAAGTATCGTCGACAGCAAGCTTGGCGAGATCCCGTACTCTTCCGCGATAAGTCCGTTTTTTCGTCCAGCTGCTGCCACAACAATTTCTGCGTTTTGCCCGAGCGAAAGAAACTTCTGTTTCTTGCTCTGCGGCGCTGCCATAGGACCTGGCAACCGTAGACAGAGATCGAGAAAAAGAAGCATTGGTCGTAACTGACGAAGCGAAGCGTGCAGGACCAGCGAGCTAACTGGGCGAGGACTAATGCGGCTGGATTCGCATGGTGCTCAGCCACTAAACATGCGTAAAAAAAAAGGCACACGCAAAGATAGCCAAGCCAGCAGTCAATACCGTATAAACCGGACTATAGGTCGAGTGGGAATATAGGTCGACCCCCCAAGTTCAGGTTACCGAAAAAGAAAAAAAAAGAAAACAACCCAAAACTGCCGAACCACAATTATTCGCGAATTGGCGCACCGCATCCCGATCGTCGGAACTCCCCTCTACCACCATCGCAACTGCTCCTATTCGTCCGACGAAGCACCAACGTCTTCTGAAGACGAGAGTTTGTCGCTGGCCGCCTCCCACAGTGCGTAGTCTTCAATGCCATCCAGCGAGTTGCTGATGCAACATTTCTTGAAAGAATTTTCCACCATGGAACCCGGCAAGGAGCGCCAGGCGGAAAGCACCCAGCCACAAACAGTCGCAAGCGGAGGCCTCTGTAGGCGGCCCGTCGGTGTTTTGGGGTTGTCGCCGGACATCCACTCTTGGTATTCCAGCCGCACTCTGTCCTTGAACGGCTTGTTTAGTACAACGTTGAGCGGCTGGAGGGTGGACGTCATACCACATGGTATCACTGCGAGGTCCATTTTCCCGTCCCCGAGTGCGCGTTTCACTGCGTCAAGTGGCCACGAAACACATCCAACACCAGCATGCTGCGAAGACGCAGCAGTGCACCTGGCCGACGGTTACACACCGCTCGTATCCATTCGAGCATCATGGCCTCGTCCATGTATCCCTTTTTGTTGACGCGAACGACAACACCGGGCGGGAACACTTCCTTTGGCATTGTCTTGCGATTGAAAATGACGAAAGGCGGAAGCTTTCTACCATCTGCCGTGCATGACAGCATGACGGTGAAACGCGAGTACTCGTTGCCAGTGGACAGCAGCTTCACATCCTTGGCGCCGCGCTGCGTGATCGTGGTCGACGAGGGCATGTCAAACCACACGGGGGTCTCATCGGCGTTGCCAATCTGCCCCATCATGTAGTCGTTCTGCTCCCGAAGCCGGTTTACGAAGCATTGATAGTTTATGAGCTTGTCCTCGAACTCCTCCGGCAACTTTTGACAGATGGATGTGCGCCGCCGGAGAGAAAATCCTTTTTGTCGCATAAATCGACGAACCCAAGAGTTCAATGCATGAAACTCTTCTCTCGTGAGCCCAGCTTCCCGAGCGAGTTCCACGGCTTTCTTGCGAATGGTATCCACTGTCACTGGCAGCGAACGCGCACGAACTTCCCGCACAAGTCCGCTAGCTTATGCTTGGCTTTGCATTTTTCGACGGATTACACACGACTTAGGTACGTTTGCGATCGTTTTAGCTGTCAGAAAATGAGGAGAATGTTCTATGTAGAAACTGAATGCGAGACAGCTGATAGGAATTCTCTGTTAGAAACAACTCTGGAAAAAAAACAAAGTGGACAAGTGCACAGGAGAACCGCTGTCATGTGTACCTTTCTCGCGCCGTTTTTATGATGAAAAATGTTGCTACTATATAATTTACATTGTTAGAACTTATTAAAATTAGTTAGAGTGGTTCAGTCTGAGTCACATCGAGCGACTTGTGTCCCGAGAAACTTTCAGTGAACCGGGAGAATAAATAAGTGATTCGTTGTGGAGGGAGTCTTAATACATTGGGGCCTATGGGATGCGGGCAGGGAATCGAAAAACCTTTGTTGAAGCGGGATTTTCATTGTAGCGGAGTTTGAATGTATAACCAGAATGTGTGCACAAATCTTAATGAAGACGTGGAACTGGCTTTAGGAAACAAGCTGCGTGAATTCGAATGCTGCGTGACACTGTAAAAGCAGCTTGCATCATTGGGGAGCCTCTTATCCTACAATAACAAGTGCCATCTGGCTGGCTTACGTTGCCTCCTTTTAAAATCTTTGCTCACAATTTTCCCACCAAGAATTCTACGTTACACTGACAGCGTGCATGCTGAGACCACAATGTACTGGATGAAAGGCATTAAAGTAACAAAAGGCAAGTACAATAAACGAAGAAGCACTGGTATAAGAGACGAATGGGCATAAGAGGCGCCAGTGTCTTATACCCAGAGACAAGAACTGCTGCCTGGAGCATGCCTCTTAGAAAAGGGGTTAACTGTTTCATCGTTGGAAAAAAAAAAAAAAAAAACACTAATGGGGTAACGAATGTAGTCTGTCATGAGATGATCTAAACCGTGCTTTTGTGCAAAATAAGAACAGCAATCATGGGTCCATTTGAAAGAGTCAATAATTCGGCATTCTGTAATGCAAAAACTTCATTTGTTTCCCATGAAATACTAGTTAACAAGCTTTTACCGTAGTTCCATAATTGATTGATTTGTGGGGTTGAACGTCCCAAAACCACCATACGATTATGAGAGATGCCGTAGTGGAGGGCTCCGGAAATTTCGACCACCTGGGGTTCTTTAACGTGCACCCAAATCTGAGCACACGGGCCTACAACATTTCCGCCTAGATCGGGAATGCAGCCGCCACAGCCGGGATTCGATCCCGCGACCTGCGGGTAAGCAACTGAGTACCTTTGCCACTAGACCACCGCGGCGGGGCCGTAGTTCCATAAGGACGTCGTATTAGTGCGATCCATATGGGCTCGTTTCAACACACAAGCAACGCACATTCCTGCGAGCTCATTTGCGCACACAGTTTCAGCACTTTCTCACAGATTCCCTTCTCATTCAGCCCCACGGTAAGCAGCTGTAAACGATGTTTATCAGCTGACAATCATAAGGGAATGAAGATTGGAAAGCCATGACTGCACGGCAGGCACTCCATCTGCTTGCTGATAACTCAGCCCAAAGAAGAAAGTTATGGGGCCTAAAATATTTTCAGGCTGTCCCTCTCCCACAGTGATTAAGACAAGAATCTCCCATTTCTGAAACTGACAAATCTACGGGACAATTCCAAGGTTCACTTCAGTACCAGACACAGTTGTCGGTAGGCAGAGCACAAGTTCATCTTGCCATGCCTGCTCTTTATCATTTTCAGAAAGGTAAAAAACGAGCCACTCTGGACCACATGCAGCCAGCATGGCCGCATGTGACCTGTTTTGGAGTGGCTGGGAATCGAATCCATGCCCTCAGCAGCCTCGGTGAGCACAGAAACTTCCTTACAAACTGCAGAACTGGAACTATGCTGTAGAATATACTTTGATATAGACTACTTGAGAACATCTAGAATGTCACTGTAGACAAGAACGATTTAGTGATTGATATTGAGATACTCAGAGGGATGAAACTCCTCAGAGGGATGAAAATTCGTGAACACGAGGTGTCACTGGAGCAGACATTTTGACACCCCCATTCATGAATTTTACGTCTCTTCAGGCTTCAATGTCCCCCTGAACTCCTCAAGGGGCAAAACTACCGGATGCAACAGTACACTCCATCAAGGAGCTTCAGCCATGTTGATTGAAAGGTGGCAGTTGCTCTCCAGCAAGTAGCCCTTACCTCCGCCGCAGACTCCTCGCAGCCTGTCGAGTGAACGGCCCGCACAAAACCTGTGGTTCCACTGGCCTCTTCACACGTCTTGAGGCTCCCGCTCCAGGGGAAGTGGCTTGTCGAGCAGAAGCGAATGCGCGTCTTCAGGCTCCAGTCCAGGGGAAGACCTGGCAGTCTTGGTGGCTGCGCAGTCACGGAGACATCTTTATTTGTTTGCGTGGAGACAAATCTGCCAACAGGGGTAGACTATACAGGTGGACCTCAACGTTATGAAGTTCAACTATATCAAACTTCTCAACATAAAGAACTTCACGGCGAAAGATTGAGACAATAAATTTAAACTAGTGCTCGAGTCACGGAAAACATAGTACGTCAATTAGATTGGTGACCCTGCTTTATAAATTTTAAAGTGCAGCCCTCGATTTTGTGGCATGCAATAGTTGCAATTTCATCAAAGCCAGTAGAAGGCAAGTAGTGCAGTTTCTCGAATAATATAGCATTCGGGTAGCACTGACACCCAAAATTTCGGTGACAAGCCACCAGAGCTGCGCGAATAGAAAAATGTTCAGTGCGAAGCGAATAAGGTGTTGCGACAACACTTCACACATGAAGGGCAAAGCTGCTCTTTCCTCAGTCTCACCCCCTCTTTCAACTTCTGAGGAAGCCCAGCTGATGTGGTGGATAAGGGTCTGCTCCACCCAGAGTTCAGAGTTTCAAATCTGCCTCGTGGACGTCAATATATGTAAGAACATCTCAAATTTTAAATGCTAAAATCTATAGCGTCCAATTTTTTTAGACTTCCTGCCCTAATTTTCAGGCCCAAAGCTCAGCGGCAGTGGCACCAACGAGGTCTTTTTCAAACAACTAAGAAATCTGTTACTACGAAGGAATCTTGGAAACCTTGGAACCTTCCGTCAACACTGCAAACTGCCACCCTTACGCCCCAGTGCAAAGGTAGATAATCACTGGCCATCAAGCCGGCACGGTTCCTACGTCCCAGACCAGAAGATATAAAAGACTGCTGTACCGACGAAGGATCAGCACACGCTCAGCGGCAGTGGCACCAACAAGGTCCTTCTCAAGCAACTAAGAAATCTGTTAATACGCAGGTTGGTTTTCTTTACCTTCTTAGTTTGCTTTTATATATATACACATATATATACGTTGTGGGCCAATGCTGCTGAGTTATTCCAGTTACACCATTACCAGTTCATTTTGAGTGCACAGCCATAAGTGTGTTCCTGCGCTTGGGTCCGCACTGTTACCTTCGAGCATCAATGTGAGCGCAATGACTAATATTGCTTCCGCTATATGCCTGGTATGTGATCAGTTGCTGCCAACAGAGTGTATCTGTTCAGAGTGTGATTATGGTTATCATTTGGGCGCTTGTTCTGGTACGAGTAAGTCAAACTACAAAGCAATGGCAGACACTGCCAAAAAAAGCTGGAAATGTCAGACATGCGTGATCTTAGCCGCTCGAGGCTCCCCAAAAGTAACGAGGCATGCACAAAACGAACAGTCGCTCTCTGAAAAGATGCTCATAGAAATCAAGAAAAAGCTGAATGAACTGCCCGAAATCAAGCAGAAGCTCGATGTCCTTTTCCGGGTCAAGGAAACCGTGGAAGGTATGGAAAAGTCTGTGCAGCATTTTTCAGATCAGAACGATAAAGTATTAGCAGAAATGAAGCTTCAGTCAACTGAGATTGTTGCTTTCAAAAAAAAGAGTTGAAGACATTGAGACCACGAACGCTGACCGGGAAGTCGTGGAATTGCGACAACAAACAAACAGCCTCGAACCATATAGTCGAAGGAATAATTTGGAAGTGCATGGACTTGTGCGGGTTGAAAATGAAAATCTGTTACTAATGATCAATGCAATTGCACAGGACTTAGAGCTGCCTCAGTTAACTAAACATGACGTGGAAGGCCTTCATAGACTGCCAACTAAACGTGGCAAAACCCCAGCAATACTGGTCCATTTTTCCTCGCGTGTAATAAAAGATCAGTGGATGGCAAAAAGACAGGGTATGCGGCAGTCTAAGTCAACGGTGTACTTTCTTGATAATTTGACGGCACAGAACAAAAAGCTTATGTGGATGATGAGGGCAAAGACTACAGAAAAGCAATATGACTGCCTGGCACAGCCATGGGAAGCTGTTTGTGCGCAAGCGCAGCGGTGAACCAGCAATACAGATTTCATGTGATGCCGACCTAGAAAAGATAATCTAGAGGATCGCCGCTGTTTTCTTGTCATTCTTATCTGTTTTACTTTTTTTTTCTTCATGGCAACACAAAACACGCAGCCTTACTACGATGCTTCATCTTTTAATTTAGCGGTGCGCAGTTCCCTGGTTTGTGAAACTGACAGGATATCGCTTTTTCACGTTAATTCGATATACTCGCTTTCACGGAAATTTGGTTCACAAGTGAAACTGATGTGCCGTTTTTTGGATACAAATCTGAGGGGGTATACAGAAAAAGTCTCAAAGGTGGTGGCATTGCATTGTACTTCAAAGAAAATCTTCAGTACGAGGTATTGTCAGACTTTTCTCTTCTCTGTACTCATGAATCTATTGCTGTGAAGTGTTCTGGAACTCTGGTTGCTTGTGCTTACCGCCCCATCAAGTGAAACTGTCGAATTTGTTCAGTTCATGCGTGACCTCCTTGAATATGCATGTACCCTCAATATGCCTGTTATCTTAGTTGGAGATTTTAATATTGATCTTTAAAAAAAACAGCTTGCCACGTTGTTTATTTCTTGAGGTCATTAATACATTTGACTGCTCTAATGTAATCCAGTCACCAATGAGAATAAATGTGGAGAGTGATACATTACTAGATCTTTGTGTCACAAATCATGAGTTGTCTAGTATTTTAGCAGGAGTGCTCACATTTGATTTAAGTGATCACCTACCTATATTTTGTTTCTTTCCCAGATTAATGAGCAAACGAAAAAAACCACCAACACAACAAATATTATACCGTAGTTATAACCAGGATAATCTCGCTACGTTTCGAGCTATGGTCGAAAGCATCTCGTGGAGCGACGTTTACAATGAAAAAAATCCTAGTATTGCGTGTGATATCTTCGTTGAGTTAATAAAAGACAAATATGATAGCGCATTTCCTTTATTGGTGAAAAAATCTAGCAAAAAGTCCTGAAAGCCGTGGGTAACAAGGGAGTTATACAAACTAATTCAGGCACGTGATAAACTATTTCACAAATTTATTGAAGTAAAAGACCCAGTTTTACTTAACGAATATAAAAAAATTAGAAACAAGTTAGGCTCTGACATTAAATAAGACCGGAAAGAATATTACAAGAATAAATTTGCTGCAGTCTCAAACTGTCCAAAAAAAAATCTGTAATCGTCTCCACGAATTAATGGGCAAGCTTACCTGTCATGTCCCTAGTGAACTAACACTCGATAATGTCGAATATAGTGGCGGTGCTTTGGCAGACAAATTTAATGAGCACTTCCTATCTTCTGGAGAATCGTCACACAATGAAGATAGAAAGCATGAAATTAATGGGTACATGGCTGCTCCAGTCGTCAGTATTTGTTTTTTAAAACCGTGCAGTGAGCATGAAGTGTTCACTTTCCTGAGTAATTTAGATAAAGGTACTGCGGCAGGAGCAGATGAAATCAAGGCTGAACCAATTATCGCTGTTGCCGATTTAATCAGTGCCCCACTACAGCACATATGTAATGATGCTTTAGGTCAGGGTGTTTTTCCAGACAGTATGAAAATCGCAAGAGTGGTTGTTTTGCACAAAGGTGAGCCTAATGACAACATCTCTAATTATAGACCTATATCTGTCCTACCTTTGTTTTCTAAACTGTTAGAATACTTGATAAAAGATAGACTATGTAAATTATTTTACAGTAAACAAGTCCTTGTGAAAGGGCAGTTTGGGTTTCGTCAAGGGAAGTCAACGGAGATGGCACTACTCAGCATAAAAGAAAAAATGCTTTCTAATATAGATGAAAAGCGATTCACTGATCTTTTTTTTTTATTACTGTACAAGTATGTACTCCATTTACTCTGTACAAAAACAATGTTATGCATGCATTATTAGTGTGTTATTTTGTATTTCTTTTTATATTGTATGCTCTGAGTGGTGCTTTCGGATACTTGGATCCCGTCAGGCAGAGGACATCTGCCTTTTGCCCTTGTATCTGAGACATACATTTTTCTGAAATAAAGACAACAACAATAACAACAACATTACTGGAGCCCCCCCCCCCCCCCCCCCCTCTGCCACATTTATCGTCTTCACAACGGACCCAGCGGTTTCATGATTCAATACATTTGCGACTGTACCAGAGCCAGAAAGGCAACTTTGCCACAATTCGAGTAGGATGGCGTCAGGCACATTAAAAAATCTGAAGGGGCCACTACTAATTTGACGACTTCATTTGTCTTCGGGAAGTCCAAATAGTTCTGAATTGCAAAATTCTAGTCGACCTTGAATCGAATAGCACACACCATTTGAAAAATTATCAGGATTTCATATTCGCCCACCTCTACAAGCTGCAGCTGCAGTACAGGCAAGCCAGCTTCACATATTCCAAACTATCACAGCAAGTAGGGCCTGCATTTATTTCAGGTTTACGCGAGACGTGCAGCCGCAGCGAAGGAATCTTCGCTGGCGCAGCATCAAGCCGTGGCCAGAAATCTCAGGTTCTAGAAAATTGCTTTTGTTTATGTTAACAGCATCTTTTTTTTTTGTAGTCCAGTATTATTCAAGCATTTTACCGCCACTCCCTGTTCAAAAAAGAAGCCTTTTACCACTATGCGAAGCACACAGGAGTCAAATTTTACTTTAACGAAATTTCGATGTAATGAAATAAAGTGCCGACTTTATAAACTTTGTTCATTCCGTATGGGATTCAGAGGAAATGAATGGAGCTGTGCAGACCATATCGGGGCACCTGACCTGGTGCCGGAAGGTAAACGTAGTCGGAGACGGCGGAGAACTAGGAAGTGCTACAGGTCTTATGTTTACATGCTACAACGCACAGTGGGCTCACCTTTTTTGCCTGTTCAGGCTTTGCGCCATCCGCTAGAGAGTGCCTTGTTTCATCATCATAGGAGTCGACGGCAACCTTTGAAACCACGAGTCTCTGAACAGTGCAGTAAATAAAAGAAGAAAATAATGAAATGATTGAGCAATAACATTTGGTCAGAGGCTACACATCAATTAATTTATATCACTTCGGGCAAGCAAGACGCAGGGAAATGACAATATGTACAAGAGTTTTCGCATTCTCTTCTCGACAAGCCAGTCTGTACAGTAACAGCTCGTTATTTCAACAATCATTAATTCAGGAAACCCTATAATTTGGACGTGTTTTGCAGTTGCAGCCAACATATGCACTCTTCAATGGCATTAAACTCTCCTCGATTCGGTCATACTTGGCCACAAACTGGTTATATTAGAACTACCCTCGGAGAGTGCCTAGCGCAAAGCGCTGCGAATGTGCTACACAAAGAGATAAAAAAAACGCGTTCATGGAAGGCCAATCGGCTGTAGGCTTTTCAGAAAGGCGTGGTTACCACCCACAATGATGTTGCTGCTTCGTGAGGGCACGTTTAGGATTAAGACAGAGAAGTCCTGAGCTGCATTCAAGTAGTGAAGAAAATTTGAAATGATGAAAATCGTGACTTTTGCACTGCTCTTATGCATAATAGCTACATCTCAGGAAAATGAAAAGTGCATTAACATAATAGGCACATACTTATTGCTTTCTTGACATTCTCGATAGTTTAGCATTTGGTTAATACGGACAGTTGTGCTTGTTTAGTCTAATCCAAACTAACAAGCTTTTACTGTATGACTGAAAGTTTTGCGTCAACCGCGATGCCCTTCAATATCAATAACGATATCTTAACTAATACAGCAGCATTAATGGATCCATTACTTGAATGCAGTAACATCGTCAGCATACACTTTTTTTATTTTAAAAGTACACCACTGCAATGAGGGAAAAAGTTAAGAGATCTGCGGCACTCCATGAAAGCTGCTCGGGTTCCCCAAGGCCAGCATAATGTTCAAGAACCTGTCATTAACAGTTTTGTCAGATAGAAACAAGCGCATTGAAGAGCCTGGAAATAGTTTTTGAAGGGCCCAGGTTTAATGTCTGCCCAGTAATGCAATGAACAAAGACAGAAGAACCATGTTTTCATTCATTGTGCTACAAGCCACAATGAAGCCTCTCCGACTAGCCCAATTTTCAGTTCCATTAAAGTTTGCCTTCTAACAAGGCACCTCTGTTACATAACACAGAACAATGACATCTAAAAAAAAAACTATTGCTAAACAAATTGGAGCACAATAAAAATAGAGTAACAATTTACACAATCGAAGAAATAACCATAGCACTATATCTTTGTGCCCCAAAAGCACACCTTAAGGGGAGATGCTACTCGAAGACACTTTTTTTTTTAATATTCACCCTAGAGCAATGAAACTTGAGTTGTTTATGGAACAATTTATGCTGATTTCAAATATATAATTAGTTTTCTTTCAAGTTGCTTACTTTTAGCTTTGCTAAATGACAAAGTGAAAACCTCAACCCTTTTGCCCCTTCTCTTTTCATCCATGAACTTCCGTAATTTTTACCATTCATAGTTCATAATGTTTGAAATTAAGTGTAGAGTGCAAATAACTAATTAGAAAGCACATACAAAATATGTAATAGGCGTGAAAAATAGTAGACATAAAAAGTCCTTATTTCACCTACCCTAGTAAAGGTTTACATAAAATTTTTTATTATACAATAAAATATTGAAATTTAAACTAGATAATTGCATCTACCCTATTTTAGAAAAATTTGGGCAAAATTTCATGCAGATCCGAGCACTAGAAGTGCCCAAGAAAGGAGGGGCACAATGAAAAAAAATTTGAGTTTCGAAAAAAACAAGCTTTTAAGTTAAAATTGAGTTTATATTTATGAACGATGTCATTAAATCTGATGAAATTTGCACAACAAAAAGAACAATCCTTCTTTTAGTTGCTACTGCGACTAAAATACGCCAGCCCCATGAGTTTGTTCCTCTCGGCTTTTTCGAACTGACTCCTCACAGACAGGGCCATGAAATGCTAGCCAAACTTCCACTCCATCTGGCAGAGTCTTGTGCCAACTGCAAGCTAAGAAGAAGTTCGACGGGACTGCGAAATCCAAACTAAGTCCAGTGTCATGTCATCTTGTGGCCATGTTTGTGCCACATACCGTCGTACATAATGGCAATGTCGTCCCTTCTAAGTTCTCTCACTGCGAGCTCTTTCAATCACGCAAGATTGGTGCTGACGTCATCCATCGCCGCATCACAAACTTTCCGGCTGACGGGTGTGAATGACTTTTGATGCATAGGTTTTGATTTTGATGCATTGACCGCAAGTTTGGCAGGGATCGCAAGATGGTTTATTTTGATGCATTGGTCGCAAGTGACAATCGCACAAGGGCTTTCACTTGCGAGCAATGCTTTTTTTTTTTCATAACGGAGATAATTATACTAGATAAGCATTGTTCAGCTGCCCTGCTCGACAAGACATGGACCCCGCAAATGGGCTTCACAGCACATACAGGCGCGCAGCGGCCAATGGCGGTCCCCGATTCGTACGCCGCGATAAGCCAGTCGCGGCGCTCGAAAAACGCGCAGAAGTGTGCTTCTTTTTATTATTTCTTGCGCCGCATCAGCGAGGGAAACTGTTGTTGCTCGAAGAGTGAGGCTCGACTCTTCAGCTAATGCGATCAACAATGGCAAATGGCGGCGCATTATCGGCGGCAAGGTGCTCGAAGACTGCACACTTTGGACCTTTTAACAGGCACTTTGTGCTCTTTAGATGCAATCCTAAAGCATTTCCAGTTAAGTCTCGACCTGTACTTTTTTTTTTTTTCACAACAGTAGAGGTACTAATCTTATCACAGGCAAAAATGAAAAAAACGATAATTTTGAAAAAACTCACGTTTTTCGACCCGAACTCCCCTTAACTGAGAAATATGCAGAAACTGGGATCCAGTGTATCATCACGAACTTGGCTTTCATTAACATAAGTTGAAATATCAGTGATTAAAACCCAGTTTGTGCACAGGCATCCTGTGCACAAGATTTGAAAGAAATTTTTTTGATGCAGGTGTGCATTTCATTAACCCTGTGGCTTGCAAGTTGCTTTGCAGAGTTCAACTAATTAGACATTTGTTCAAGTAGCCACTGCTTGGACTCCAAGGCTATTTATATGAGATACACCTCTGAACATCATCCCAAGCTTGTCATAAATGTGGTGCCACAAAAAAACATCAATAATTTTAGCTGGATAATTTATGTTCAAGCGACATGTCAAGGTCACCACCGCTCGAAGATACCTCCCAACCACGTCCAAGTTATAAGCTGGCCGTGAATGGCGGTTAATGCCAAGCAATCCACTCAGGCCAGCACGAAAAACAAACTGACCTGTGGCGACAAAGTTGGTGGAGATGCTGTTGTCCGGTGAAGTAGTGCATAAACTTCTTCCAACCGAGGCTTTTTCTGCACTGGACACCTGTCAGAATAAGCAACATTACCTCAAAGTGCAACATGTAATCAAACAACCAAAGTGCATGAGCACCTCTGTCAAGTGGCAGGATGTTCACAGTTAGTGAAATCGTGGGTTTTTTATCACTCATCTGGAATCAACATTCAAGCTATGGGAGCAGGAGGAAGAACTGGTTCATTTCAAGCAGCCAGGGTTCTTCAGTGTAAACAGAGCTCACGGCTTGAAATGCAACATTTTAGGTCCAACTAATACATATACACTTGTTAGCACTGTCTTTAGTCCACGTCATATCGGCGTAATTTTGACTCAGCCTTTTACGTATCAGAGCTAAGATGACCATTAGCAGAGAGATTCGCAATGACACCATGTGCTTAGGAATTGTACGTACCAATTGTTATACCAGAAGTTTTGATGTCATCAATGAGCAGAGGACATTAGAGTGCAATAACGTTTTTACAGAGTACCCCCATCAGGGTCATGGACAGAAATAGTACAGCAGAGTTGTCAGAATTTTGTTATTTGCTCCACAACGTCATGCACAGCTTCACTGAGCTGATGGATGAGAGGTGGAGAGGAGGAGTGAGGAATGTGGTATACACGGTGACAACTTGACATTAAAGCAAAGGCTACAGAGATGAGGCTTCCGCAAATTTATGTTGCTCCACAAATAGTACAGCAGCTTAAGGTTGCTTTTGGTTTTGCTCGTTGGCATCGTTAATGAGTTTAGAGAATTGTATACACAATAAATGTGAATTTAGATTCTTGTTGATATTGATGGGTTTAATGTCCCAAAACCACCATATGATTATGCGAACACTGCAGTGGAGGGTTCCGGAAGTTTTGACCACCTGGGGTTCTTTAACGTGCACTCAAGTCTGAGCAAACGGGCCTACAGCTTTTTCACCTCCATCGAAAATGCAGCTGCCACAGCCGGTATTCAATCCCACGAGCTGTAGGTCAGCAGCCGAGTACCTTAGCCACTAGACCACCGCGGCGGGGTGAATTTAGATATTTCAGTGTACATTTTAATGTCACATTATGTCTATATTTTGCTTGGAGAACTAAACAGCACGTTTACGGCCGTACACTGACCCACTATGTCATGAATGCCATGAAAAACTGGCCGACTAAAAAACTGGCCTGCTGTAAAGTGGGTGCCGTCCAAGAAATGGAAAGAAAGAAAGGCATTCTTACAAAGATCAATAACTATTTTACCTTCGACATTCCGCAACTGTTTTGGTCTCATAGTAAGTAAGGATTTATTTTAGCGAGAAAAATTATCAGTCACCTTAAGTACTATTTTTTTGGCATGGCAGCTAGCAGGCACGGTCTTCAGTTCCATAGCTTTGGCGGGCGCACGTGGTGCAATCTCATAGCTCGAGAATGAAACCTACGCGACGACTTTAGCGGTCCCTTTGTCCACAGTGAAAATACAAGTGGCCTGGCATTTGCTTAGCAATGGCAAAGACTGCGGTCGGGACTACCGAGGAAGAAGAAGCTGCTCAATCGCACTGCCATCGAGCAGCGAACCATGAGCGATAGCGGCAACAAAAATCTAATCGTGAAGAGAGCTGTGGAAGCTGAAACCAAGCACCACAGAAGCTCCCGAGTTCAGATTGAGGAAAGCAGAGTTTGTATAGGTGAAGAAATGGAGATCCAGAGGCTGGCGACACGAGCCCTTGACCAGTTCAGCTGCGAGAAGCCCAGTAACTTTTAGTCTAAGTGTGTGGTTTGGTCTACTTTACTGGGCTTCTTCCAGCTCTGCTGGTCTTTGATGTGAGTGATAGCAGAAGCCACACATAATTTTTTTGAGGGGAAAATTCAACTTCCCTCTATGCACGCTTGTGCATGTGTTTGCGTGGGTATACATATGCATGCAAAATTGAAGTTTGGAGAGGTTCAATCCTCCCCTTCCCAAACCTGCTACACCAACGGCTTCTACTGGCTCATTCACTTTATCATTTTTGTGCAGTCATGGACCACAACACATACATGTCTGCTGAGAAATCTAACTGTTTGCAAAATGGCTGTTAATGTAAGTTATTTTGGAAAGCACTCCAATGTTTGCTATTGTCGTTTGCAAGTCTTCTAGGTGAAAGACCATCCCTTAGTGCACAAAACAAGGCCAGAAACGTAATGCCAGCACTGCCCTTGCAAATAAGCATAGTAATGCTAGTTTACCGGAAAGGGTTGGTACTGCGTTCACGCTTGACGGGGACAGTTGTAGCACCGTTGATGGCGTTCAGGCTGACCGGTTGTAGAGCTCTGGGTTGGAGACGACGCTTAGCAGCCCTGCTTAGCTTGAGGATATCGTTAGGCTTCATCCATTGCGTCGTCTTTGGAGCGGCTGCGTTTTCGGCGTCTTTTAAGGGGGCTGAAACAAAAAACGCACTACTGAGCACCGCTGGTTCAATGCTCCGAAAGTGCCCTCGGAAAATGATTCGATATGTGGGTTGACTTGAGTTCAGGTTGCGCTGCAATGAGGTATTTGGCTACAGTAACTCATTGCGACAGCTGGAACATTAATTCCTCAACTTGCTATATCCACGTTAAGTAAAAAAAGGCTAAAATTCAATAGCGAATATAGTATGGGGGCATCACCAACGGGTGTTTAAATGACAGCATCCAACGAACACACAAAGTGGAAACACGGCTTCCGCATATGTTTATACGTTAACCATAGTCAAATAGGCAAGGATAGGTAATTGTCAAGTTTGAAAAGGCCCAGTAACACAAGTTACAAGGCATTAAGAGAGGAAAAACCGCCCCGATGCATGGGGCTTTTGTCAAGCTACGCAGATTTGAACTGGCCAGAAAAACTTACCGGACTCCATCGCTTTTTTTGTTTCTCGGCTTGAAAGAAAACTTTAGGTGACTTATGACGCAGAGTGGCTGATTGTGCGTCATTCAGGGTAGTGTTTCCGTGCTATAAAAAGAAAGCAGCAAAATTAGTACACATTCGGGAAGAAACGAACACACGAAGTACAAAGCCAAGTCCTCCCACCCTCCATTGGCGCCTCTCACGACTGACGCCGAAGCATAACAAGCGACGCTTGTGAAGGAGAAAGGTAAACATTTACACGTTCCAGTGTGATAGATTTGGCACAACGGCACTCACCTAAACATCTTGCTGTGCGAGACTGTTCGAAGACTAGTTTGAAAGTAAAGCTACAACGATAAACCGTTGGCGTACCAATTCAGCCGCCACAAACAAAACGATCACGCACGCCACCGTAGATGCCACGCAGAAAATGAAGACGCTAAGTTATATAGTGCTTAACATAACAAAAAAATAGTTCACAAGTGTCAATATAAAAATTATGTTTATTTAACAGTTGATTTATATCTTAAATGCGCCTTTTAAAAGTACAACGTTGTTTCCGACACTAGCGTTGCTGCGAAGCTAACATCTATGGCGGCGTTATGATGTATGTCTGCTATGTTTATTTGCAGTTTGTTGGCAAAATTTTCCCTGCCTTGGTCGATCTGTTGCAGTCATGTTCGCTTTCTTCGCACGGGGAGACGTCTTCGTGCCTGAAAAGACCTTCGCCCAGCGGTTGACAAAGAGCGCTCAGCACATACGGGCAGCAGATTTTACTTCCTAGTGGCTACCCGACGTAAATGACGCCTGTGCTGTCAAGCGGTTCCCTCTTGTAGAGTAATCCGGTCCGTGCGATCATGGAAACGACTTCGCACGACGAAGCCGGTCCTTCAACTCGTAGCGATGACTGCCCGAACAGCGAGTGCCCGAAAGAAGGCACGCCCGTCAAGCTGAATGGAGTCAGGAAGGCGGGCCCATACTTGCTCGGTAAGCAGCCGTAGTGCGTCTCAAATGACGCACTGAGACGATAAGCGCGGAAAACAGCGACTGCTGGACTAATCGAAGTCATCTTTAGCTTCGTAGTTGGCTCAGTGCATAGCTGGGGAAAAAACGCCTCGTGTAATTGCACGGTGTTTTCTTGTTGATGCGCAAGAAGCCAACTGATAAGCCTGTAGCTTACGCAACACGCTAAAAACGCTAGTAAATCTCGCCGGTGTTCCCAACAGTTTTTCACTCCAATTACCTCAGAAGCTTTTGTAACCTATCTCCTCATAACTTTAGAACTTTAGCACCTGTGGTCGCGATCGAGCCCGCAATCGGAGTCGAGTTTCTTGATAATCGTGATTTGCTTGCGAGATGCAGAAGGCAGCCAATCAGAGTCGAGGAATTCGATCCGAATCGGGCTGGATCGCGACCGAAAGTGTCACTTCCTGTCTGTCACATTATTCATATTCCTTCCTGCCGGAACAACATTTTAGTTTCCTGCTACTTCCTCGCGGCTCGTTGCAAACGTGTCCGATTTTTCGCCGAAATGAAAGTATTTCCCACCCTGCTTCACACATTGAATTGCTCAGCTTCTCTGGGTTGCTTTGCCTGGCACAGTTCAGTCTAAAACCTTTGGCTGCTTCTTTTCGGATAGTTCTTCAGAATCATTTTGCTTACAATCTATGAAAAACTAATGGTTTTGTTATCAGTAGGGATGCTGCTAGTACTGCTGCATTAGTAAAAATAATACTTTGTGCACCGAGTAGCTTGTAGTAATTGCTGAACCTTTTTTTTTTTTTTTTTGGTGAGCAGTGGCATTAGGTTCACCTTGTAAAATATGTTGTATGCCAAATGCAACACCACTTTCTTTGTACATTTGTTACACGTGAAAGAAAACATTATTGCTCACATGCCGGAGCCCGAACCTTGACATGACTCTCAGAAGGGCATTTATTGTTTATACATTGACATATTACATATGTTGGGCCTGTTAATTTGTGTATAGTAGCCATGTCAGATGTTCAGACTATAAATATAATGTACTGCCTCTAGGCCTTGCCTTTACTCTTGCATTACCTCTTCACAGCTCCTTTACTAGACCGTATAAGTTACCATAGGTGTATTCTCAAGTTCTCAAATAGCTTACGAACGCAATATTTTTTTTTTGCACATCCACAAACCAGAACATGTGAGGATCATCATCACATTTATTTTGTTGAGACTGCATATATGCCAACCCCTCTCTATAACAGCTCTTTGCACCATTTTTGATGTATTATATATAAATGACAATCTGCACTGCCTTTATGCACCAGACACGGAAGCCTTGCAGTTATGCGAGGAGCGAGTTCAACGAAGTTTTCCCCTTGTTACTTTAAAACACTGCTGTAACTTGCTCCCCGAACACTACCTCACAGCTCGCTCATTTTCACCTTGTAACATGGCTTTTTTAGGTTGATTTTGGCCATCTTTCTTGCTCTAAGTCTTTCACGCAATTTCATATTTTTAAAATTTTGTTTAAGATGTGTTGTCCTAACTATTGTGACAAAAAAAAACACAGAACAATCTTGCTATTATGTATACATCCTTACATGGAGTTAAGCACTCTGCATGTTATGTATTTGTGGTCATTTCATCATTATAGACCTAAAAAAAGGTGCCCATTCTTTTTATTTTCAGTGTTTTATCTTACTTCCCACTTTATCTTATGTTTTATACTGATTACCCACATCCAGCGATCTCTGAGTGTCCTGCTCATCGCAGGTCCAAAGTTGGGAACTTCTCCAGTGTGCAGCATAACGCAGTGCTTGGCCAAGAAGGAAGGCACTGATGACTTTTATACTATTAAGGTAATGATCCTTTGTTGCTTCAGTGGATCGCAGTGTGTGATCAGATATGTGAAATCGAAATATATTTAGCTATTGCATATTCAACTTCATTTTTAACCGTACTAGTCACGCGCATACTCTGGAAACTTTTTTTACAAGCTGCGGAAGCTGTAAGATCATAAAGTTCCTGCATGAACTTATGTTGTTTCTAGCACACCATTGTGTACAGCTGCACCTACCTGTGGCTGTGATCTTTTTAGGTTCTCATCATACGAAGCCCAGAAGAAGAGACCCAGGAGGACCGCCAAGGCAAAATGCTATTGCATACCGAGTATTCGTTGCTCTCCATGCTTCACAATCAGGACGGTGTTGTGCACCACCATGGAATATTTAAGGCGAGTTCATAATAGTGCCTCTTAACTAGTTGTCTTTTTAGTTTTTTTTATTTTGATTTGGAGCACTTGCAACTAAGCACATGCATTGAAAGAGAATGAACAGCGTATAAAGTTCTTAAAATACTTGACACTGAAGTTGTAGGAGCTACCTGAGTGTATCCCTCGCAGATCTTTCATGTCACTTGTATAGCGGTGCAGTTGTTTTTAACCTGCGACTCTCTCTACATAATAACAACATTCGACACCTCAGGACCGTGCTTGGGACATGCGAGAGACTGCAGAAGGCCTCGTGTACACGGGACGGCAGCAGCGGCGCCTGTGCCTCGTGCTCGACTGCCTGTGCAGGCACGACTTTGGCACGGCCACGGCCGACTTGGTCAACCTGCAGCACTACGTCATTCGGGAGAAGCGCCTTCAGGAGCGGGAGGCCCTCTTCATCTTCCAGGATATTGTGCGCATCGTCACCGCTTTGCACAAGGTCAGTGCCACTAAAAATTACGTCAGCTTTTGGGACTTTTTGTGCCAAAACAAAGATGCAGTTTGAAGGTGCACCTAGAGATCACTTTTTACCACTCAAAGCTCTTTATGTTCACCTAAACTTAGGGGCACGTGCCATCAGGCAGGTATCAAATGGACGTTCTAAGCCGATAAGCCACAAGGGTCACTCTCATGACGATGCCCTTTTGTTATGTTTGAGTTGTTCTTGATGTAAGCGCTTGCGTCGAAGGCCTTGCCACTTGTTGTGGGTCTGAAATGCTCTCATCAGTGACAAGGCCCGCTTGATCACCGGATTACACAATTACATTTAAATAGCTCCATGCTTACAATACAAACTTGTTGGATTCTTGTCAATAAAGCTCAGCTTGCCCAGTGGAACATTCCACAAAATCAAGTTTTGCTAACCTTGCAGGGATGCCACTCATGTCAGGCATTAAAGCCTCGATTGTTTATTAAGGCAGCACCCTGAATCAACTGAAGCTGATTGTTTATAGCAATTGTTTGTCTTGTGGTCAGTAAACACTGGCACTGCTGTAAAGGGAGGTAGAGGCTTTGTATTATTTTGAAGGTGTGAAAAGCTATCAGGTGTACACTGGTAGTCTGCCCGCAAGAAGCAGAAGTGTGGTCAGACAGGCTGCTGAGAGGCAGCAAAAACTTGAAATGGCTACATTCGACTGAAGCTGTGAGCCAGCAAACAGACCATTTGTACATCTGAAAATTTGCTTAGATCTTCAGTCTCGTAACAGTATCACTTGTCAGATTAGCATACGTATGCAAAGAATTTTCATATTGTGTTAGCAGTAGGACTGACCCATTGGAAAAGGCTGTTAGTGAAGAAGCGACAGAACAGGAACAGGAAGACTGGCAGCGCTGAAGCAGTTCTTTTGTTTTGGCTCAGGCATGTGCACACCACGCTCCTATTAGTTTGACTAGTCACCATCGCTTCCTATCCAGCAGTGCATGTCTCATCTCTTTGTCCAGAAAAAGTATAGTTGTGGAAAGGATATTGAATTCCCTGTTGTACCAGCTGTTTCAATTGTATGGTGTCTCAAGAGAATGTATCTTACAAGTTGCGACATTAGGTTGTTAGTTAATGGTGCAGCATTTCGTTTTCGCCGTTGTGGCAAGCTGTTACATGCTACATGTAACTTCCCTTTGTGAGCTGCTGCCCTGCTTATCAGTGCTGTGAGTTTCTCTTCACCCTCTGTTTGATGCAGGCCTGCATGTGGCTTGAGTTTAGACATTTCTACAGAAGAGAGAAAAGACACCAATCGGCTTTGGCATGGGAGTACAAAGGCTGACATGCAATGACCCAGCTGTGACACGCCTGTTTAGCACGGTCCAGAAAGGCCTGTGGCTGTGCCCAGGGGGCCGTCTGTGAAAAAGGTCTACATGGAAGTAATGTGACGGGATGGAAGCGAGAGTTGGCATAAAGGGAAGTGCGAAGTGATGATTTAAAAACAGTCTGTGAAACTAAAATTGAAATTCTCCCCAAACATTGCACAATCGTGTTTATCTCGCACTCGCCGCTCATTTGACAGTGTCTTTATTCCTGACCAGTAACGGGATTCAAAGAACTGCGTTGTGAAATCACTCGCTTCTCTGGCCCCTTGGCTTCTCGTGCAGCTGAACATAGTTCACCGGGACCTGAAACTGGGCAATATGGTTTTCGACAAGCGGAAACGGAAGGTCACCATCACAAACTTTTGCCTTGGCAAGCACCTCATCAACGAGAATGACCTTCTTAAGGACCAACGCGGAAGTCCCGCCTACATCAGCCCCGACGTGCTCAGCGGTAGGTGAGAATGTTGTTGCACGTCTGGATGTGTACGTGGGTTTTGTTTTAGTGCAATAGCAATCATATGGACACTCGAGGTACATTTTTGTCGTCACTCTATAAAGTTCAAATTGGTAAGTTTACCCCGTATCTTCTGTGTGCGAGCAAACGTTTGCAAAGGCTGCAGATGGGCATCTCAAGCAGGGATGTGCTGACCAGCTACATCAAGCGAAAGAGCGTGAAGAGGCGGCAGTATGGAGGCTTGCTTGGACAACATCTGTGACCTTTAATCAGAAGGGTGCAGTTTTATTATTACAATTTTAGTTTAAGGAAGAAAATAATTTTTGAGCTTTCGCATGGAGAACTTCAAGGCAAAGGCTGTTGTGTGACCAAGTGGGAAGATAGCTGGGAAACTTCAAAAATTATTTTCTTCCTTAAAACGAAACTTGTAATGATAAACTTTGCCACATAAAGAGAACTGTTTATTTCCTTTCGAGCTAGGTATAAAGGTGATTTTTAATTGAACCACCACCTCGTGACAATTGCATCTCAATATGGACAAAAATGGCGATTTTGTGAAATTAGTGATTTTTTATCGTAAAGTTTAGGAGCTCAAGAGGTCTCAAAGTGTTTTTTCCACAAAACATACCTTCTGTTGAGCAAGTATTCATTGGTCAGATATTCATACAAACTGCAATGATAGAATGGAAAAAACGCAAACATAACACATTTTGTCAAAATTCTTGGAGACGTGCGTGGCAGAAAAATTGCATTAATATTATTAGCTTCAAATACCTTACACAGGCTCTTTTACTTACCATGTAGACCAAGTTTCATATAGAAACAAAAAACAGTACTTTTAAAAAAAGCTTTTCCCGAACAACACCTTAGACGACATTCTGAGAAGTTCAGAAGACACCCACATGACCGAAAAATTTTTTCTGTCCAGAATATCCTAGCAATTTACTGTTCGCAATACAGTAAATCAGCACGATTTTTTTCTCATACATTTGAGATGGTTTCCGAAATAGCTGGTACGTTTGGCGTGGAATGACCCTCCTGTCATTTCTCGTGTCCAGTGCAGGCACAGTGTGTAGCCCCTTAAAGGCATCGCTTGTTGAATGCATATGTTAAATGTAATTCACTCATCTTCCATGGCGTACACTAATGGGAATTACCAAATAAGTTTAGACTGATCAATCATTTTTTTAGAATTCTTTTGTCCTTAATATTGAGCCATCAGTTCTTAATCAGAAGAGGACATGAAAATCAGTTCCATATTTCACAAGCCATGCTGGCCTCTCTCTGTTTTTCCAGTAAAAAGGAAGTGTTACACCTATGTCTCATTCATATGATTGACAATGAATTAGGACAGTGTTGGATCTTCATAGTCTTGTTCAACTAGTATTTATTGCCGCATCATTGGATTAAGTAGAGGGCTAGACTAAAGAAATGTAAATAATGTTGCACAATAGCTCCCCTCAACACGCTGTGTACCTTGTGCACTTTGGTTTACATTGACTGGGCTGCATAAAGTGCCTGCACCCTAAAACAAAAGAATGTATACAGGGTGTCTTTCTGCCACACAACAGTAATGACTTGCTTGCTCTCTTGAAAAATGTGTGCTTACTTCCAATAAAGAGAGCTATGTCATGCCGATAACCGCGCGTTGCTCACAACTGGGAAGTATGTGGCGCGTCACTATGACCCAAGGAAAGCACACGAGATAGGTGATTATTGTCGTGTGGTCGAAGTGTACCCCAGATACACTATTTTTGTCCAAATGTAGCCAAGTAAGGACTCACTTGAGACATGCTTAGTCCTGTCAGAAATTATCACCATCGTATGCCATTGCAGAGACTGGATAGAAGAGGCCCAAGAAGTCATTGTCTTTAGTGACTGCAGTGGTGTTATCTGCCTTGCAGGGAAGCCCTACTTGGGCAAGCCGAGTGACATGTGGGCGCTGGGTGTGGTGCTGTTCACCATGCTTTACGGACAGTTTCCGTTCTATGACTCCAACCCGCAGGAACTGTTTAGGAAAATCAAGGCTGCTGAATTCACCCTACCCAAGTAAGTGTTGTTTCTTTAGGGCATGCACAGCCATCTGCTCTTTCTTTCTTTTGGCACCATAACAATGCCTTTGCAGTCCACAGTGCAGTGTAAATTGAAGCAGCAGCAATGCTATTATGAAGACTTGCAGTTTACACTAGAATAAGCCCATAAAACCATTGAACACCACTGTCAGCATCTGTCTTTTTCTTTTACCCTTGAGTGGCCATGAAATCTTCCAAAAAATCTGAGAATTTTTTTGGTGTGCCAAATATGTGACGTTCTTATACACTGGGCATGTAGCAGGGCAGCAGTAGAGTATGAATTATTATAAATGGCCGAGGAATGGTTCATTGAGTACACAGAGGCCCTGCAACACTTTTTGAGCATGGTCAGAAAATGCGGTTGATCGGTAGTCAAGGCTCCCAAAAACACGCAAGCGAAATTTTATTGTGTAGTGCGTGGCCTGGAATTCACAAGACAGTGTAAAAGTGAGCTAAAAATTGCTTTTCTTTTCTTGTCAAATGGTGCTATATACCAAAAAAATCATTTTGGTATATGCTCAAGTATCACACCACGGGCTGATTTTAGTGTAGCGTGCTTGGGAGTTACTGGGGCCACCGCGAAAGACCGCAACTTGTCCATGCGCACGCGCGCGATCGCACTTAAACGCTGCGCATTCAAAGAAAAAAAAAAGAGAAAAAAAGAAAGTGCTTAAGATCACCAGGGGCGCGTGACGTACCTTCTTCTCACGTGCCAACTATACCTGCTTAGCTTCCAGCACATTCATAAGAACGAGAGAAGAAAGGAAACAATTACAGCGTGCAACAAATCTTTGTAACTATGCTCGTTCTGGACGGGCTCTAAAATTTTTTGCGGTGGTGAATTCACGAAGCAATAAGCTACCTTAGTGACAACAGTACTGAAAGTTGGGCGAGTTGGTACTCATTCATGACTTCTTTGCACAAACACGTACACGGACACAAGGCGCCCGTGTTGTTTGCCTCTTTTCCTTGTGTCCGTGTACGTGTTTGCGCAAAGAAGTCATGAATGAGTACCTTAGTGAATCCATTCTATGGCTACTTGGAAAAGTATTGCAAGGCCCCTTTAAGATTTGGGCTCTAGGCTGTGTTCGGAGATTGCGAAGCTTTTCTTGGTATGCCGTGGTCCACACGATTCTGCTATCGATCATGCATGCTTGGTTAGTGCAAACTGCCTGGCACACTGTCATACAGTACAGCGTTTGAGGTGTTTTTGCCCCTGACTTCATTGTGCAGGGAATCACCTCTTTCGGAGAACACGCGGATGGTCATTCACAAGCTTCTCGTTCTCAACCCCAAGCAGAGGATGAAGGCTGATGAGGTGCTTGAGTCCGTCACAAGCACATTGGCTGTGTGGTATGTTTTTCTTTGTTGAGCGTATTGAAACAGCATGCTTCAAGGTCATGTAAACTTTAACCACACTCTTCGATGATTGATCCTCTCCAGTCTACACTGTGTCTGTGTGTGTTGCTCTAACTAGATCTGTTTTTTAGGGTTTGGTTTATATTCTTTCGTGTATTGCTTAGCACACGAGACATAGACGTGTTTTTTAATTTCAGTTACTTTTTAATGCTGCCAGTACGCAAGTAAATGCAGTAAGTAGCCGAGGAAGGCATCTACTTGAGATGAGTTGAATTTCCCCAGAAATTGGTGCGTGTTATTGTGCATACGTGAATAATGAACCAGAGGACACCGTTTTCAAAAAACATAATTTCAGAGTTTTAGTGTACATAATGAGCCTTTTTGTGGAAATTGACACCACTATGAACTGTGAAGTGTGCGTACACTGCTGAACAGATGCTTAAAATGCTATACAAGAAGCACATATGGTAGAGTCTTCTTGTCTTTTGAAAAGAATCAGCTCATAGGCTATTTGATAAGTATTCTTGGGTATCCAATTTTTGCAGTGCACATGAATGGAGACAATGAAGGAACATGGAGAAGTGTAGGAACGTGCCAGTCCACATTATGTGTTCCTTTCTGGTCTCTATCTATATGCACTTCACAAACTTTGTCTTCCTTTGCTGTCACCACCTGTTAATTTTATTACAAAACACTGCTATCATTCCAATTCATGGCACTCAACTTTTTCTTTGAGAGCAGCGCCATTGACCCAACTAAAAAAGCACTTTACCACAGCTCGCTCCCTATAGCTTCTAGTGAACGCGATGGGACGTCAACTGTATTCCTAGCAGCTTGAAAGAGACTTTTCTGAATATAGTAATACAAGACATATTTTTTTAAGTTACCCGTTGTAAAAAAACTGTTCATAGTGTTTAACTGTTTATGGTGCAGCCATGTCTACAGCACGTCTAATCATGAAGATTAGTACCCATTCATTTAGGCCCTCCATGAATGCTTATGCAAAATACAGCACAAGCACAATCCTTGGTGCTCAGCTAGAATTTAAAAAAAAAACATAATTCCAAGGGACGCCACAAGGCTCCGTAATATCACCATTACTTTTTATTTTAGTGCTATTGGGGCTACGAGAGAAATTAATGGAAATACCCAGACTTTATCACAATATATACGCGTACGACATCACCCTCTGGGTTCCAGGAGGAGGTTGTGACGGTCACGTCGAGAGAACGCTACAGGTGGGTGTAGACAAAGTTCAGGAGTACTTGCAAGGAACGGGCCTCGAGTGCTCAGCAACCAAGTCAAAATTTTAATCCACAATCCCACAAGCACAGGCCGCAAAACCCCACGTGGCGAGGAAAGGGAATTCTTCAAAATACATGTTCTGTTGGCAGACGCCACTCCCATACCACACGTAGGCAGAATTCGAATTTTGGGTTTACACATACGTACAGGCAAACGGCCATAATGGTGAGACTGTGCGCCGACTCCGTCGTTCAGTAGACGACGCTATCAGACTTTTGCGTCGTATCACGAATAGATGTAACGGTCTGTGTGAACACTGCGCAATTAGTCTCGTGCAAGCCTACGCAATAAGCCAAATAACATACGTTGCCCCTTACCTCAAGTGGATAGGCTCAGAAAAAAAAAAAACTGCGTGATACGAAAGGCTTTTAAGGGAGCTATCGGCCTCCCGATCAACGCGAGTACCGAAAGATTTCTAGAGCTAGGACTTCACAACTCACTCGACGAGTTAATTGAGGTCCATGACATTGCGCAATACAAACGCTTAACCAAATGAAAGACAGGTCGACACATCCTTGAGTCGCTGGGCATCAGATATCACGCTCAGCAAGGAGAAAAGGTGGAGGTCCCTGCCTCAGTCCGCGACCGCTTGATCGTTCTGCCGATTCCTAGGAATATGCACTCGACGCACCACATCAGATGGCGTAACGAGCGTGCTAGACAGCTTCAAAAGAAGTTTGGTAACAGTACGGACGTGGTATACGTAGATGCTGCGAGATATGGAGAAGGGAGAAGAGCCCACGCACCTGTGGTCGTTGACCTTCAGGGCAAATGCCTCGCGGGCGCCACTGTGACGATGGGACACACGGAGGTGGCCAAAGAAGCCGCGATAGCCTTAGCACTCGCCGCAGCGCTGCATGCAGAGATTGTGATAAGCCACTCGCAGGCGGCAGTCCGCAGTTTTGCGCGCGGCCGTACCTCGCGGGAAGTGGCCCGCATCCTTCAAATGTGCAAATATGGCGACTCGACGTCGCACTCACAACCCCGAATTCCAACAGTTTTCCTCCTATGGACCCCGGCACACACCAGCGTTCCGCTCGCGGGGAATGAGGTGGTCCACGTCGCGGCTCGAGGTCTCACTCGCCAAGCCGCGGCTCAGAATGTGGCCACCGCCTCTGACTCCGACAGCGGGGCGATGCATCTCTTGGATCAAGGCTCTTTGATAGGCACGTAGCAACAAGATTCAGAATGGTCATGGGGTGATCGTTTTACAACGTTCCATGACATCACCCTACAGGCTCGAAAGGCGTAGGTTCCCGCCACCACACGAGAATTTAAACGGGCGCGATGCTGTTTACTCCAAACCTATTTCTAGTCTAGCCCGGTCGTTCTACGCCACCTCTACCCGAACATATACCCCACCGATATGTGTAAAGCATGCGAACATAGAGCAAGGCTGAGCCACATGCTCTCGGAATGTGCCGGCGACGACAGTCGTGAAAACACCACCAATCGCGATGTCCCTATAGCGGCCGTCAATACCAAATCATTGGGAGCCTCGAGATCACTCGTTCCTGCCGCTGGGAGGCGGCCCTCCAAAGCCCAGAGCTGAACGACCAACTCTGGGCCGTTCGGCAGGCCAAGGATGTCGCCCATGTCCTGGAATTACGAGCCGCCACCTAAAACCGAGACCGAATTGCCGGCCCATTGTGTCCAATAATGTCTTTTCTCTCTCTCCAAGGGACACGCTATTCCCAGTTGCATTTTCTTTTCTCCTCTTCAAGGGGCACTGACATGAAAGCTTTCAGTTGTCCCTTTTCTGTCTCCTATGAAAGGGCAAGTCTTCAAAAGCCTGGCAAATGTACTGCTAACCGTCAGTGCACTCTAAAAACGTAATTACGGTGTGTAAAAACTAGTTTCGGTTCGTACCATGACATCACAACGTGGCATGAGCTTCTTGTCACATGCTTGCGCAACATGTTGTGACGTTTCCCGCACTGTGTCTCCGTCGGTGACGTTGAAGTGGCCATGTTGAATGTTCTTGTGACGCACAAGTGGACATTTTGGAAGTTTTCGTACCAAACGTCATCAGAACTAGCCAGACCACTGTGTGAAATCACCAGAATCAGTACTGTAGCCTGACGTTAAGCAAGTATCCATGTCGGAAGCGGGGCCCAAGACAAAATTACTTTAATATCAATTTAGAATATCTTATCAGCATTCGCTGTGCTTCACTCTTGCTCAAAGCCGTATCTACCAACGGGGGATTTGTATGGCAGAGTAAGAGTGCCATCAAAGGTCTTGTGTATTGTCTGGTCTGTTCAAGCAGTTCAAGATACTGTAAATCTTGCTCAACTAAAGCAGTTGTTTACGCTTTGCCTGGAAACCTTGACTCTAGTTTATTTGCTGGCCTACCAACTCGGTACGTTCTTCTATTTCGACAGGAATTCCCTAGCAACCAGTGGAAAGCCTCTCCAAGTTGTGCCAGACATTGATGAGGACGATAACACGCGCAGCGAGGAAGCCAACACGCTCAAGAGTCAAGAGCAGTCCTCTGCCTCGGCAAGTGTGGCCGCGTCGCCGTCCTCCTCCGGTCTGGCCGAACTGCAACACCCTTCAGGAAGCAACGTGGGGGACTTCATCTTTGGTACGCGCCTCAGCATCGGTTACGCGCCGTACACTCGAAAGCCCCCTGTAGTCAGCCCTCCCGCCAAGAGGAGACAGCCCGGCGTGCTGCCCATCCAGCGAGTGCACGTTGACGCCCGTCCCCTGACCGCTATCGAGAGCATGCAGTACCACAACATGCTGCGCCACACCGCCTCCTCCTCGAGTTCTTCGTCGTCCTCCTGATGTCCACACTGACAGTCGAGGAAACGTTCAATATCAGTGTGAAACCCCACCGGAAAAGCTTGTGAAAATAGCCCTCACGCTGGTCTGTGCACAAAAAGCCAGTGGTGTCTGTACTACCTTTGGGAGGCGCATTAGCATCTCCAAACAAATAATCGTCGGTCTCGCTTGCACTTCTTCTCGTGAAAATTTCAAGCGCGCAACTTTCTTGTCGGGAATGCGTGTTATGTTGATAACGGGCATGCTGTTTGTGGCCGAGTGGTACCAGACGTTCAGCATTGTAGAAGCGAAAGGCACTGATAATGGCGACAATTTTTGTTTGGACGATGATAATTGGGTTCAACATGAGCTTCAACCGGTGTATTTTTTTTGTTCTTTGGCAGTGTACCACGAAAGATGAGACTGGACACTCAGGGCAAAAATATGGTGCAAGCTACACAACCACTTGTTCTCTTGTCACACTTTTACTTGTTTGTATCATACACATCATTCTGTCACTCGCTTGTCCCATTACTTGCACAGTAAAACTGTGCCGTAACAAAGGTTCGTCTGACACACAAAGGTAGCTCTGTTGTTTCCTGCATTTGTTATAAATGTATGTTTGATGAGCGTGGATGTCGGTCAGAAAAACATGCTTTTTTTATTCACTGTACTTATGATTCCCCTTTTTGTCTGAGTTTGTTGTGTCGAGGTTAAGTTGTAGTTTAGTCTAGTGACAGTTACTGCTGTCCTTGGGAATTCGGAACAAAGGTGGTAATGGTAAGGTAACGGGTTACAACTTTCTACTCGCCAAGATTTGTCTATATTCTGCCACAGATCATTGTGCCCTCTGATCAGGTTTGTCATTCCAGCAGCCACATTTACTGAATTCCATAGTGCTGTAAAGCGAATGTATTCCATGCTTTCACAGTGCTACATAATTGATTTGCGCCACCCTTGACTTGTGGCTCGAGCCTTGCTTACAGAAGAAATTTGAGGTAGTTTGTGGAAGATGTACTGGTTGTACTACCTATCTATGTGTCAAGGCAGCCAGGTTTAAGATGATCACTCTGCCCAAGCAGGAGACAGTGTTTTCTACACTTAACAGCTACTTTTTTTTTTTCTTAAACTTTTCTCTGAGCAATGAGAACCCCAGTAGAAAGCAATGCTACAAAAAACCGGTGACTTACTGAGGTGTGCTTAGTGTGACCAGCTTATTTTTGGTGGTGGAAGCAATTTCACCTCCATTGCTGTAGGGACCTAACCATCTAATACAGACATGTCCAGCCTTGCAAGCAATTGGAATGTCATCGTCTCTTACACCAAGTTGGCTTCCGCCACAATTCCCCTAGCAGCAACGATCACCTGCTATTTTGAAGTCTTAGCGATAACTTTAGTGCATAAATTACTGGCTTGTAATGTTTCAAGCGAAACAATTGTACTTCCTTATTAAAGATTGGTAAGATGTAATATAGGGCAATTAATTGCACTTGTTGTGGTTTGGAATGCGCTAGGACAAGATCATAACTCATGTAATTCTTCTGCTACAGATGTCGTTTCACTATGAGTGTTCTTATAACACTGTCCCTCCTTGCACAAATTTTCTTTGCACGATCATTTCGTTACAAAAAAAAAGGCTACTACAGGGGTGTACGAGATAAAGTGCAGCTATTTTTTGTTCTTGTCAGAAGCTTTGTCATTTTGTGAGAACAATTTTTTGTGCATTCAATGCCTTTTGTATCATACTTGTCTTATATGTTTTTCATTTATTTTCACGCAGAAAAAGTTGTTCGAAATTGTGTGAGCAGTTATGCTACAACTAAAAAAAAGACGTTTGTCACATAACTTAATCAAAGCACCTTGTACTATAAAGAAGGCTCCAGCCACTTGAAGGTTGCCCTCCTCACAATATTCATTTGTCTTTTCTCCTGCACTCCTTCATCAAGCACTCAAGGTTAAACTATGCTTTGCGCGACTCTCTGCTGGTGCACTATGCAAAATGCCCGATAAAATGTGTAAAACCATATCTACCTGTACACTACTCGCTCAATTGGTTTGTAAACAATTGTAAAAGCATTTCATGGTCCCCTACACCTTTCCTTTATTACGCACTTTAATAATTGTCAGGGCTTTACATCCCAAAACCACGATAGCATTATGACAGAGGCTGTAGTAGAGGGCTCTGGAAAAGTATAGGGCTACCTACTGCTGGACAATATGCCTTGTGAATACTAAAGAAACATTTGCAGAAACAGTGCAAAGAATCTTAAAAGTCCACTGAGCTTTGTGCAAAGTTTTTTTAGGAAGTTGTAGTCGTGTAACATTTTGGGCTTGGCTTAATTTCACATTTGTCTTTATTTTCCAGTGTAGGAGACTTTACTTCTCACAAAAACACTTACCTTCTCTCTCTTTTCTTTTTCCGATTATAGCAGTAGTGGCAACACTGTAGTGACAATTACAATCGGCATTGATTATTTGTTGTAAGTCTAGTTATTGATTTAAGCTTGAATGATTTGTTTACTCATGTATTCAACTCCGTATGGTGCTGTGTAATTACAAGCATCATCACAAGCAAAGTTCACCTCATATTGCATTCGTCAATTTTTTTTCCCTATGTGTCCCTGTGAAATTATCATCTGTTGTAGTACAGTTTTACAAATGCACTCAAATGAAATATTTGTATAAATTTCATATACTACCTCTATATGTTCACTGTTTTACTGCATAAAATACATGAAACTGAAGGTAACAACACATTGTGGGGATCACAATCTGGCATATACAGCCCAGTGCTGCATATTTATACTCCATGACACACGACTCATCGCATAAGCTAATGGCAGATTTTCTCTCGTGTTGCTGACATCACTTGCCTGTTTTCATGAAAACAGTGCATCTTTGTAGCACCGCACCTTATAAAAATCTCTAGATCATTTCTCATTTTTATGCTGAAACGGGTCTTCATTTTGCTAATGCAAAGCAAGCAGTTGACTGTCAGGAAGGGAATATTCGTCAATGTGATGACCAACAGTGACTTAAGAACAATGCATACTGTGAGTATAAACAAACTCACGATATTTTCACACAAGTGCATAACCAGACTCTCCTAACAATTTATGGCCACAGCATCACTATGCATAAACTCATGGGTTGCCTCAAACCCACGCATAACTTTTCTGACATACGATCAAACGTGAAAAATCCCTGGACAGAGCACATATGCCGAAGAAGACGCGAATTCGGCGAGTGGGTGTGGTTTCATGATAAAAATATATAACAGCGCTTATTTTATATACAGGTCGAAAGAAAGGTGAGGCGCACCCAGCCCTGAAACTTGCAACTGGTTTAGTGAAAACAATGACTCATGCTCTGTTCTCGAGGCGAGCGCGCATGCTCACTGTCAAAGAGGAATCGCATGTCAAACCGCTAGCCTCGTGCAAGCACTCTAGTCTCCCCTATTTATCTGGCCCGTTTCTTTGAAGTTCGGCGCTGTTTGTGTTTCATCTTTTCTCCGTCTCGTGCTTGAAAATAAGCGCTGTTTTATATTTTTACCAGGGCTTATATGCTGTAAATTTAAGCTCTTAACTCGCTGCTCTTTCAGTAACACTGTAAATTGTCATTTCCATCCACACTCTATGTGCGATCTTCTTTGCAATCTCTTAAAAATCTCAGTATCAATTAAAAGTACTGTTTGTGCAACAACGATGTGTCCTATTTGCGCTCAAGTACAAACACAAATGAAATGTTTGGTGTTGCAGACTTTCATATATTTTGGTGCTCCGATATTTTATATCGAAATATATTTGTCATGTAGCTTGCAGAACCATGACAATACAAAAAAAAAACATGCAAATTCAGAAAATACGCTGATCCTCTGGTGCCTCTAAATCAGTGTTCGGCAATGCGTGGCTCGTAGGGCAGGATTACGCGGCCCTTGGCATAACGTTCATGAAGACCTCCCTTTCTCATTTCTCAACTGAAAGCCATCGTGGCAGTTTCGACCTCACATGGGGTTTTCACTTGTAATTTAATTTGCTAGGGGTCTGCAAATGGTGGAATTTAGGGCCGAATCAAATAAGATTTGAATAGTGATCATATCAAATCGAATGCAAATACCAGCCAAATACTTCAGAATGGTTTGCAAATAGCAAGGCAACCATTTTAAAGGCAGCCTGACAATCCTACAACTTTTTATTTTTCAAACAGTTGTTCACAAACAATAACAAAACAATATTACCATTATATTTAATTGACAACATGCCACAATTATCAGTGACCTTTGTTAATTTAAACAGAACAAAACCTCTGAATTTTGTTTGAATTATCAAGAAGCTTGAATTATCAGAAGTTCTCAGATAGATGACTCTGGGTGAGGTGACACCACACAGTATGATTAGGCATTGATTTTATCACAATTAAGCATTTCTAAAGCACTTAAAGGCCTAACCACATGCAATGAACAGAAAACAGAGGTGTAAGGTCCACAACTTTATTGGCTATTTACTGCTACTAATCAGACCATTTCAAGAAATCATGAGTTGCCAACTGCTCTTTTGCTATATGTCCTTTCAGCACAAAGCTTTCTATACCAGTTGAGAAGCATCACGGTTTACCATGCATGTGCTTCGTTTTAAACATTTGTATACTAGCAAATCCTTTTTCCTTGGAGGCCTGAGGCACTTATTTTTCATTTTCAGACTGTTAAGATTATATAAGCATGCAAATTTTTAAATAGTACTGGGAAAGCAGTAGTTATTCTCTGGTATGGAACCGCATAAAGTATGAATTAACTGAATGACGGAATTTGAGTCAAGAGGCTCTCAAATACATTGAAAGATTAGAAGGCCAACCAAAAAATTTATTTTGTTTGAATTAACCGAAAGTATAAGTTATGAAAGTTTGAAATATCGCGAGTCTACTGTATATAAAGTAAACGGTAAAATATAATTACGTAAACCATAAGGAATAACTACAAGAAGCTACCAGAGTTTTCAATGTAATATTTAGTGTAGGATGAATGCAACAGTTCGTTCAGTATTCGAGGTGCTTGTTTGTCATCAGATTCTAAATGTCATCAAGACCTAAAGGTTAAGTAATGTTTTATTAATCAACAACAGGAATCTTGGGATATGGATATATTGGTAAAGGACATATTTCCTTTGGCAACAAAGGAGTTTAAAGCTCGAATTCCTTCATCAGCTGATGATTAAGCTTGAATAGTCACACAAAATTTCTAACTGTGATTTACCTTAGCAATTCACTAATTGAAAGGGATAATTAAATTATCCTTATTTTTCATACTTGTAATTTTTTTGGGGTTTCACCAGTGGAGCTGATTATTCGAAAGGTATTGGAGAAATATTCGGTAATTCGAATATCTTCGCAAATCAAATACAATGCTGTTGGGTTCCTTATCGAATTTATTTTGCTATTCTCACACCCCTATTAAATACATTTGTCCATTGCAATTTTTGTGACATGCATACTGAAAATAATCATCATTTCTGAGTTTATATGCTAGTTTCATAGATTTTGGCAATTTGCCGAAGTTTTTCTTTGCCAGCACCTTCACATGTTGCCATGCATACCCCCCCCCCCCCCCCTCCGCTCCAATGCACGACCGCACTATGTCGACCAGTATTATGAACCGTGCTGTAAAAGCTTTGGTAAATGTGAGCCTATATTTCTTTTTTACTGCGATAGCAATTATATGGGTAATCTCGGCTGGTTTTTGCCGTCGCCATCATTCACGTACATGTACATGTGCATACGGGGAAGGATTCGCTAATCTCCTCTCTCTGCGGAGCGAACATCGCCTTTCCGGCCGGGGTCGTCTGCGCGCTCGCTTATCTCGCGAGCGATCAAGGAAACAAAACAGGGGGAGGGGGGGGGGGCACTTATGGTTGTCGCGATCAGCGCACGGCTTTCCCCCACAGAAGGAGGGAGCTTCTACAGGCTGCGCTATCAACACGTAAAAATGGTGCCAAAAGTGTACCTGGTGCGGCCGTCCACTTAAGATGCGTTCTACACATAACAAGCTGCCACCAGCGGCGACACACGACGTATACAGCCCTTAATTAGTACCAGCATGCGCTGCCGACGGGAGGCGCGCCTCATCAACGCCGTCACTACGCACGAGCCCTTGTTGTGGTCATCTACTGTGACCGCACCGCAGAAAACTTGGTATACTTAGAAAGCGCATGTTTACTACAATCAAAATTGCTCCAAAAAGTATACACTAGCCTTGTTTGCCCCGCCGCGGTGGTCTGGTGGCTAAGGTACTCGGCTGCTGACCCGCAGGTCGCGGGATAGAATCCCGGCTGCGGCAGCTCCATTTTTGATGATGGAGGCGGAAATGTTGTAGGCCCGTGGACTCAGATTTAGGTGCACGTTAAAGAACCCCAGGTGTTCGAAATTTCCGGAGCCCTCCACTACGGTGTCTCTCATAATCTTATGGTTGTTTGGGACGTTAAGCCCCACATATCAATCAAATCAATCAATCATGTTTCGTAAAATTTTTGAATACATAGTGTCCATGTGATGTCACTTCCACCGTTGTCTCCATCTCACGCCATGCCCGGGTACCTCGCTGGGTACCTACAGCAGTTTGCGTGCTGCGGCGCGGTTTGTTGAGCGCTCGTCATCTGTTGCTGTGCGCGATGTTTAAAGACGTGTGGTTTTTCGTTGTGGTGCTTTAACGAGCTCATCGGGTCAGGAAGGCCTCGCTTCTTCACTAGATACAAGATCAGAAAGTCAAAACGCGTGACACGTATACCCGCCACCGCGTACACCGGCTGCCCGCCACGATCTACGAGGGCCCATTATCTCGCTTTCACTACAAATTTCGTGGCCCAAGAACACGGTGTAAGAGGTAAGCTGCTTCTTACACCGTGCCTAAGAACAAGTGAAAGCTCAAAGTCTCTCGAGCCGCAATTTTAAAAGTGGATGAGCCAAGCGCACAGCTCCCACCGAAAACGAGTCATCGTGCAGAGCTAGGCATGTTTGCAGGATATATATTATTAATAATAATTTTAATATGTTGCTGCGGCCCACACCACCAAAGTAGCAGTGCGGCTCCCCGAGTCTTTTGAACAGTGATAATGTTGAGCGTCTTTGATATGAATTTGCGGAAACAACCGAGGAATGTATTATGCAAGGTAGACTCTTCGCATGGTGCATGCTGCGGTGACGCCGGTCACTTTTTTTTGCGTATGTTTTGACAGATTTTTTACTTTGTATATTAGTTTTGTTGCTGTGCGCTAATGTACAGTAAAGTTCAATGCAATACCCGAATCCCCGCGGTCGCCTTCACAATTTTAACCGCCTCCCTGACACGCTGAATGTGCACGCAGCGGTCGCGGACAAGTTTGTATATACAGGGCCTATCTCTGTTTGCAAATACGTGCTTGGATATAGCACTTACCCCTAATGAAGTTACACCTGAAGACGCAAATATCACCGGTTCTTCAAGTCGCTTTTGTGGTTAATCTGCGCCAGCCAAACATGCCGGTGCTTTTCGGAAAATCGCAATGTGCGTTCTCAATTTTAGGTAATAACTTTCGGCGAACAGAACACCCTGACGCTCTGCTCCCTCATCGTGGACTGCTATATCAACTTGCCCCACCGGCAGCTGATAATTGCTCAAACTTGCATCGTTAGGCAAAACTGAACGGGCGCATGCACGAGGAAGCAGCACGGTAGC